AATACATAAAAGCTGAAAACTTCAGGCATCGAGATGGCAAAAGTATTCTCATCTTCTCAATATGGATGTTGTTATAAGTGAAGCTTGGTAAGAAGAACTCGAATGAGAGAGGGATGCAACCAGGCTAAAATTCTTGGAAACTCAAGGAATTAAGAAAAGTCTATCTTTCGTCAAAGGGTAAATGCGAGAAACAAAGCCCACTCTTAAATTTGAAGTGTTTGGTAAATTATTAGAAGGGATAAAACAAAGCAAAAGAGGCGAAGCCAGTACACACCCCCTTCTTCAGCCCAGGGTCCTTTGTAGTGTTGCAGTTGCATTACTTCCTGAGTTTATGTTGTAGATTTGTTTTGGGCTCCTTGTCCGCAATTCTTACTTCAGGTTTCCGTTGTGTTTGCACAGTTCACTAATTGCACACATCAGCAGTCTGTGGGGTTCTTCTGATGGTCTGGTGATGGCACTTTGAGCTTGGTGCTTCTTTTGTGGTTTTCGTTTCTCTACTTAGGCTATTTTAAATGTGTATTTTGCAGTAGCAAGCATATATTAAAATACATCTTTCTCAAGCCCGCTTGCATCTTGTGAAAGCCTTGCTTCTCCGTTTGCACTGCCCATCAGCTATTACTAATTTTTCCATACTTAAAAGCAGTTTAAAACTTAGAATAGTTATTTGCAAGGAGTTGCAATCCTATAATTATAACATTATAAATAGTAGTGAGAGCCAACTACTACATAGCCACTTATAACATTAAATTAATGGAAAAGTTCGGTAAATCACAGGCTTAATATAGCTGAGATGAGTGAGGAGGAATTATTAATATAAATTTCTTTTACCTGTCTCTTTGTGCTGTGTAAAACATTCATTTTGGTCTCCAAATGCTTCCATATTTCTTTTAATGTCTGCCCTTAGAGTAGTGTCTGCTCCCCTCTTAATGAAATTTCTTAGATTTAATTTAAAATATCCTCTTTCTGGCAGAAGAGGCAAGGATGTTTAATTCCACTCCATTGAAGGGCAGTGCAAGAATAACCTTTGGTGAATGCTCTGACACATTAAAACCTGCAGAGGGAAGAAGGGGTTTCTCTTACTGCTGGTATCAAGATGCCTCAGGAAGCAGTTTGGGAACTGATGGAGAACAGGAGTGAGTTTGTGAAGTATTCCCACCATGTAACTTTTTTTGTGCTGAAGAGTCTCAGGCAATTGAAATAGGCAGATGAGAGTGGTGTCTTGCCTGACTAAATTCCACGTCTTCTCTTTACTAATGGACCTCTCTGCAGGGACAGCTGAGCAGTAGAACAAAAAGTACTACAGTTAATGAATGCTGTGGGCATCTTGCACCTGGTGGGCCCAAAGCCCTGGGAACGGTAAACAGAAATGTAAAAGAGAAACCAGAAAGAATGTTGTGCTTTGTCTAAAGCAAATCATGCAAGACTGTGGTTAAGCAACGTTATCAGGAAACATAAATATTGTGGTTATCGCTTTGGCAGTGGAAAATTCTACCCGAAGCTGTAAGAGTACACAAACTGAGCTGTAGAAACAATAAACTGGCTGCTTGCTTGCACCAAGCAGAGCCCCGTCTCTCAGTCACTGCCAGACCTCGGAAACTGTTAAGGGGCTTTTGTGGTGCTGCAATGGCCTCTGATGGGAAAATTGAGAAAAAAACCAAACTCCAAGTCTGGAGGCTGATGGTGGAGAGGAGAATGAATGTTATCATAGAATTGGGACAATTTTGGCTGTAAAATGAGAGTTGTGTGTGCTAAGAGAATGAATGTTATCATAGAATTGGGACAATTTTGGCTGTAAAATGAGAGTTGTGTGTGCTGTGCTAACTAAATTGTAACTGTATCGATATTTTAGAAAATAATTGTTATAAAGTATGTAGGATTGAGGCAAGCAAGATCCCAAAACAGAATTGGCCTTGGCATGAACAAAGTCCTTTGTTACACGTGAAAAACAGGATACAGGATGTAGTATTGAGATGAGCAAGATTCCAAAACAGGATTGGCCTTGGGTTGAACAAAGCTGGGATGATTCCAGGTAAGGAATCCAAGTTGTGGTTTTATCTGTGAAATAATAAGGCTTATTTGGAACATAATGCTTACTTGCATAACACAAAGCTTAGTGTGCACGTGCAACCTGTGAAGGTTATTCAGAGGACAGCGAGGAAGACAGTGAGCCTTCCTCTGAAAAGACCACCCAAAAAGCCAGGAGACCCCCTAACAAGTGGAGCATGCACTATGCAGTATAGTGACATAGATTTCAAGAATCAAAAATAGGAGGAGATTTATGGAAAAATACTGATGAATTTGTATTAGCATACAGTATATAAGTTTAGTTTGCATTACTTTGTTTTGTACATGAGTCAGGGTGAGAAGCCCGCCCTGTACCCTGGTCAGTTTTGCTTATGCTTTATATAAACCTTAATCATACATAATTAATCACTGCCAATTTTTTTATATGCTTGATTATATTAAATATAATTGATTGTATTCATTTATATAAAATTGCTGTTCAATTAAAATTGCTGCTAAATTTTGTTGTTTATTAATTAGACATACACAACTTCATTCATAACACTGTTGAGGGATTTTTATGGTGCTGCAATGGTCTCTGATGGGAAAACTGAGAAAAAACCAAACTCCAAGTCTGGAGGTTGTTGGTGGACAGGAGAATAAATATTATAGAACTGGGACAATCTTGGTTTTAGATGAGAACTGTGGCATCTGTGCAAAATAGGGAATACCCAGCCTGACCAGGATAATGTGTATATATATCCCTCAATATGTACAAAACATTCCCTCATGTAATACATGACTTGGAATAATCTGTGCTTATGTGAAATATGCAGGACATAAGTTATGCTTGTAAGAAAAATACTTAATGTTTTAAACCCACAAGCCGGAGCGGGGGACAGATTGCTTCACAAAATTGCGAAACCACAGATGGCAGCAGAGAGAAAGACCTAATTAACAAACTAAAAGCTCCTATGGAGATGGGCCCTTTCCCGGGACAGTCCAGGAAACACCCAAGCGATGAATACTTGATCAGTATCTACGATCCATAGCCAGAGTCGTGGGTGAGCATCTCAGTGCCAGGTTCCCAGAACTCGGTGAATGGATGATCAGCATTCATCGCTTACCAGAAATGCTTTTGTCCAGCCCAGCACAGAGAAAGGAGACTACATGAATATGTGATGCCATGAAATGAAAGACTCTTCCCCAGGCAGAAAAACCTGTATAAAAACTACCTGGACAGGAACAGCCTTCGTGAACAGAGGGGATCCAAAGTGGTAGAGTTGGGATCGGAGCTCACCAGTGCTGATCCCAGGCTCTACGCTGTCCCTTTGATTGTGGCTCTTGGAGACCGAATCTCTGTCACAAAATAAAACCTATTTCATTAGTTAGTAATTCGGCCGTATCATTTATTACCTACAACACTCAGAATAAGAGGAACTGGTGAGGACATTCAGGAGAAGCCTTTTAGGTGCCAGTGTTCAGCTGGTGGGCACTGACTGTGTCAGAAAGGAATTAATCTTGCAAAAGTCTCCATCAAGTTTAATTTTCTATGTAAGAAAAGGTCCAAATAAGCAGAAGATGAGGAAAAGGGAGATGCAGACTGCAGAGGGATGTGGAGACTGAAATGAATCCCTGTGTTGTTAATGTTGCCTTTCCTTCCGCAGCGTCCTCGCAGCGCTGTGAGCTCTGGCTTGGAAGTGCCCCACCCACTGCCCAGTTTCACCCCCTATGTGGACGAGTCAGCTCAGCCCCAAATGATGTGAGTCTTGAGTTTGAGATGGGGGGATTGCATTTGGAATTCTCAAAGCTGCTTCCAAAAACTGGGACTTGTTTTGCCAAGTACTTAAGCCTCTCGAGCTAGAGGAATTTAAAAATCTGTCATCCTGGAAGCAATTAGTGCTGCAGCTTGATGACAGAGGCTTCAGCAGAGGTTGCATAAGGACATGGGAAGTGTTCAGTGCTGCTCCTGATGTGGGGGCCTATATCGTATTCATATATGCTAATGAGTTTAATAGCTTAGCTCAGTGTGTTTACACAAAAGCACAAGCTCTGTGTCTTAGGGTGCTGTTTGCTGTGAAAGAGCCCCAAATGGAGGCAGATTTGTGTCTGGTTTTTTTTTTTTTTTCTGTCTTGGGGAGTGAGTGTGCTGCTTGTACAGTGCTCCCTGAAAAGCTGATAAACCCCAGGAGATGGGGTGGTTTAGTTAGAGCAGAGGAAAAGACATTATTTTGCAAGGTTGCTCTACCTTTGTGTGGCTAATGATGGCCAGGGAATAGACAGGCTCCTTGTGAGAGAGGAGTGGAAAAGGCTGTTGGCCATTACAGACAGTTCCCAGGGGTCTGAATTGCATGGACCCAAGGAATGCTGAGAGCTGGTGAGCAGCAGGGATTGCATGTGGACTGCAGAGCGGCTCTGCCCCTGGCTGTGCCATGGTGTAGCTGACAAATATGTGAAGTCTGCATTCCTGTTTAAAATGTAAGACTGGTTCTTTCTCCTGAAGGTCAGTGATGCCACATCAGAGGGTAAATCTCTTGGCATGCCCATTTCAATGAAGATTTGTCATTTGCCAAGGCAGCGGCTTTTCACAGCAGGGAGAGGGATGGAGTGGGTAGAACTGAGCACCAGGCTAAGTTAGCTCTGAGTGACTTAGGCAGAGACTTGGTATGTAGGTTTAGATTATGTAGTTGAAATCTTAAAAGTACTTTTTTTTTCCCTGTCTTTGAAGCAATTTTCTCATGGTGCGATGGAAACCTGCTAGGAACAGTACTTTTAAGACTGGGTGTTTTAATTAATGTTGGATATACTATTTTGGAAGAACTGTGGATATGAATAGAGCCTCTTGCTTTCTCTGTACGGCTGTAGGTCTGCTTCCCCCACTGGCTGCTGTTCCATTTTCCTTCATATTTGACGAATCCTCTACTTTGACAAATCAGAATATAAGGCAGAATTATTCAAGACCTGGATTTCAGAGGGAAGGAAAATGGAAGCATCAAATTTGTTACTGTAGCAGCCAAAATAACTGTTAACTGCATGGATGGGGGGGGGTGTATGTTTTGTTTGGTTATATTGGTTATTTTTATTTAATTCCTCAGAGTGCAAGATGAGGAAATATTCTTCTGTTCTTCATCTTCAACCTAGAACTATTTAAGCTGTTCTCTTTTATTCTGGAGAGCTGTAGTATACTACTGTTCTGTTGCTTACTGCTAGTTCTACAGTAGAAATTGGTTGATTGGAATGATAATAGACTTAAACTTTTTTTTCCAGGACGAGCTGAATGGAATTGAACGTTTGAGTGAGGATGCAATTGTGAGCGGCTCCTACAAGAACAAGACCCTTTGTGCCAACCCAGAGGACACGTGTGACTTTAACAGGGCTGCCCACCTGGCCTCAACGCCCTTTCACGGGGTGGGAGCTCAGAGAGTCCCAGCTCCTGCTTTCTCTCAGGGTGAACTGAAGGAAGATAGTCCAGAATCCAAGAGTGCACCTCTGAGTCAGGAGACACCGGTGGGGGAAGGAGCATACTGTGAAGTGTGGAGAGCTGCAAAGCTCTTAAAATTAAGAAGGTGAGCCACTGGGGACGATGGGATCTCAACTGTCAACCAAAGAAAAAGCTAACGTGGCAGCAGAAGAAAAAGCTATAGTGAATATATGGACCCTTATGTTGGGCCAACGAGGGATAAAATGCGATAAAAAGGCTCTGTGTACTTTATTGCAGTGGTGTCGGAACCATGGGGTAGATACCAGCGTAAGAGCTGCATTTATTGTTAAAAACTGGGAACAGGCTGGTGAATTGATTTTTGAATCAGCCTCTCGAGGAGATGAGACTGCTAAAAATATTATGACTACCTGGAGGCTCGTGCTGGATACCTTGAAACTGCTGAAACCTGAGCAACATGCAAAAACAGCAGCTGAAGCGCCACAGGCACCACCTGCCAAGACTCCCAGTGATAGTGCAGCTCAAGAGGGAGCAGCTGGGGGAGTAGATGCCACATCGAGTTCGCAGGTGGAAAGGATGGGGAAAAAATTAGAAGGGAAGTGGCTGTCATCCACACCTCCTATCCCTGCGACTCCGGCCACACCGTGTGCACCTACACCCCCGTGTCCTACACCTCCAGTTACCACAAACCCATTCTCTCCTCCTCTGCCTACGGATGACCGGAGTGATGATAAACTTCTGTCGACGGCCCCGCCTGTGCTTGATAGGGCTAATCACAACCTCGGCATGGAAATAGGAGCCGGGAGCCAAGCGGCACTCGGCACTGAGAGTTCTGACAGGGAGCTGCCAGCACCCGGAGTGGCGGGACGCCACATCCCATCATGTCCACAGCCAAAGCCTGAGAGACCCAAGGAACCCCCTCCATTAATAGATCTGTGGGATCCTAACAGGAGAGGCCCAAGTTGTCACACCCCTGCTGGCCCTCAGGAGGATGTTTTTACCATGCAACCAATATCAGCTACTGTCTCCGGATGCAATCGGATTAGATTTTGGCACTATGTTAAATTAAATTTTCTTGCTAGTGGGGATCTTGAAGTTGCTGAACGACTTCCTGCACCACTGTCCCGGCTGTTCTTGGGTGGCCAAGAGCCTGTGAGTGGGACGACTGGGACTATCTCAGTGTACGATCCGGTTCGCTTTTGGCAGCATATGAAATCAATGGCACTTGCTAATGGAGATTACAAAGTTGCTGAACGAATTTCTGTACCTAAGTTCCTGCTGTCCTTGGGTGACCAAGAACCGGAAGAGAATTGGACTGAGCCCTATATTCATGTCACCTTTAAAATTCTCTCCCAGTTATGCCAACTAGTCACCCAACATGGACTGGGGTCTCCGGTCGTAGCAAGGATGTTACGGCTTCTAGCTGAAAGTGAAATGACACCCTTTGATATCAAGCAAATAGCGGAGTTGCTCTGTACCCCAATTGAATACATGGTGTTTGAGTCCACCTGGAAGCAATATGCAGAAAAGCAAGGGCTGTGTAATTTAGCGGTGCCACAGCAAGATCCATGCTTTGGGGCAGGGGTCCCTGAACTTATGGGATTGCCTCCCATAAATAACCCGCAGTTGCAAGCACGCCTAAATCCTTTGATACTGGCACAGGCAAGAGATTTAGGAATGCAGGCCCTGATGAAAGTTGGAAACATGGCATTGGCAACTCCAACTCAGAGTTTTGCAAAAATTAAGCAGGGCCCCAAAGAGCCTTATGTGCAGTTTATAGAACGATTAAAAGATGCAATGGAAAAGCAAATAGCAAATGACTATGCAAAAAATCTGTTGATATTGCCATTGGCACGAGACAATGCAAATGAAGATTGCAAGAAAGCTATAGACTTGTTACCAAGAAAAAATCCATCCTTAGATGAAATGATTGAAGCGTGTGCTGAAGTTGGAACTGTATCTTATGAAATGTCTTTGTTAGTTGATTCCTTGGCAGCTGCTATAAGGTCTTACCAATGCTATGGATGCGGGCAACTAGGTCACGTGAAAGCAAATTGTCCCCGTAGGTACAACTCATTGGGGACACGTCAGAAACAGAGAGCTGTGCCTATAGTGGGAAGCTGTTACCGATGTGGAAAACCCGGTCATTTTGCCAAGCACTGCAAGTCTAAATTCCATGCTAACGGACAACCTCTTAGTGGACAGGGAAACAGGAACAAGAGTGCCAAGGGGAAGTGCTTGCAGACACGAGTACCTTCCCGTCCTTCAGTGCAAGCCTATGCAACCGGCTCACAGGGACAGCAAGAGGATCAGCTGGCATGGATGTTTCTGTCGCTGGCATTATAACTTAGAGACTCATTAAAGGTATATAAATTCCCCCTCGAGGCCCATGGGCCTACTGGGGAAGGGTTAAATACATTACTATTAGGATGATCAAGAGCAACGTTACAGGGTTTTTTTGTCCACCCTGGAGTTATAGATGCAGACTATACTGGACAAATATGTGCTATGGTATCAACACCTACTCCTCCTGTACTCCTTCCAGCTAAAAGTCGTATTGTTCAACTTGTACCTTTTAAGTCTGTGTAATTAAAACAGACTCAAAGCTGCAAGAAAACTGAGGCTTTGGCTCGACGGGGGAACCTGAAGTATACTGGACTCAGATTGTATCTGATCAAAGACCAAACGTGGTTTGTACTGTTACAATGCCTCAGGCAAATGCATCCCACATCAAGGTTAGTGGGATGATAGATACAGGAGCAGATGTTACTATGATATCTGCTAACACATGGCCTCAATCATGGCCCACCATGGCTGTAGGATCTGTTGTTGCTGGCCTTGGAGCTACCACACAAAGTTACTTGAGTAGTAAGCCTGTGTTAGTTAAAAATCCAGAACAGACAGCCACGGTCCATCCCTATGTTGCTGCTGTGCCACTCACCTATGGGGAAGGGATGTCATGTCAGCATGGGGGGTTTGGCTGGGAACAGATTTTTAACAGGGGCCGCTGTTCTGAAGGGTGTAAAGCATCCTACATTGGCCTTAAAATGACTCACCAAACGACCTGTGTGGGTTGATAGGTGGCCCCTTGAAAAAGAAAAACTGAACACTCTTGAATTGTTGGTTAAAGAGCAATTAAATCAAGGACATATTGAGCCATCAACAAATCCATGGAACACTTCTGTGTTTATGATTAAAAAGAAATCCGGTAAATGGAAGTTATTCCATGACTTAAGAAAAATTAATACAGTTCTGGAAAGTACGGGTGCTTTATAGCCTGGAATGCCATCCCCTGCTATGATATCTGCTACCTGGGACATTTTGATTGTTGATTTAAAAAACTGTTTCTTTACCGTTCCTTTACCTCCTGATGATATCCCAAATTTGTTTTTACAGTGTTCTCTGTCAATCATGCAGCAAAGAAGGCCTTTTACAGATTCAGCCAAAATTGATGCAAGCACTGCAAGAGTTCAGGTTGCAAATTGCACCTGAAGAAGTGCAACAGCAGCCCCCATGGAAATACCTAGGATTTAAAATGTTAGACCAGACAATACAGCCATAAACAATTCAATTTACAACCAAGATCCAAGCATTAAATGATGCACAAAAACTTTTAGGTACCATTAACTGGACATGACCCTATTTAGGGTTAACTACCCCACATTTATCACCCTTTTTTAATATTCTTAAAAGCGATCCTGAGTTAACTTCCCCAAGTGTTGTGGTTTAACATAGCTTGTTTTTTAGTTAAAACCTGTTTTGCCCTCCTCCTAATCCTTATCTCATAACAGAAAGTGAGTAAATAATTCTAGTTGGTGCACTGGCATTTGGCCAGCACTAGACCCACTACATTAATTGGTGTGCTGGCTGGAACACTTGGATTGGCAAACCAAAACCATTGCACTTAATTGGTGTTTCTGCCCAGTTACTGAAACCACTGCAACCTTTGGTGGAGAATGCACGCAATTGGTGAAAGCTGTGAGATAATGATTAGTTAGGAGAAATAAAGGGTAAAGCAAGTATTAAGTCATAAGTTTAAATAGAATGATAGTGGAAAATTTATATTTTAATTATAGTGAAATGTCTAGGGGTTGGAGGTTAGAGAAAGAAATTTTTTCCTTCTGGTTAGTTTAGTAATTTTTATTGTTCTGAGTAGAATTTGCATGTTGAATATAATTTTGATAATTTTTAAATGTGTATTCACAGAGATGAGGAGTGGAGAATGTTGCTGTTTAACATAGCTTGGTTTTTGGTAAAGAGAAAATCCATCAGTTATGGAAGTGATTCTCTGTGAGGACTGCTAACAGCTTCCTCTGGGCCCATCAGAATCAATCATCTGGTTAATTTTGAATATTGACACCTTGTTAAACCACTAAGGAAGCTGAACACACCCCTGTGTAATCACATTTAAAAATGAACAAAACCCAGGAAAAGCTCTCTTGCTTCCAGCTTTTGAACAGGTAACTGGACACTGGCCGGGCCAGGCTGTGCTTCACCACGAGGCCCACATGAGCGGGTAGGGCCGGGCCGGGCCCTGCTCTGCTGCAGCGCTGGCCACACCGTTAAAACCCATAATGGCCCTGCCTATGCCACACAGATAACTCATCAGTTCTTGCAATTATGGGGCATGTTGCATCTCACTGGCATTCCTCATTCCCTGCAGGCCAAGCCATTGGTCATCTTGCCCATGGCACTTTGAAGTGCATTCTTGAAAAACAAAAAGGGACAATGTCTGGTGAAACCCCACAGAGTAGGCGGGCCAAAGCTCTGTATACACTGATATATGCCTTATGATATTACCAAACTCCCAAAACCCTCTTATTTGAAATAATTTTTTGTCATTGCAGTCCTCTAGTGATATCCAGTTGTCCAAGCCTAAGGTATGGGTATGGGACCTCATTACCAACAAGGGAGAAGGTCCTTGGGACCATGTCACTTGGGGGTGCAGGTGTGCTTGTGTTTCTACAGATGCAGGAGTTCGATGGGTACCTGCCCAGTGTGTGTGCCCTGCTCTAGGCTCTGCTCTGGGTCACAACCAGCAAGCTCCCTGAGGGCCCCTCAGCTGACACTGTGGAGCAGTCACAATGTTTGGGTATCAGTTGCTCTATGCATTGAATCAGATGTGATTTTGTGCGTCTATATGGCACAACCAGAACAACCTTTTCACACCTGCTTAGTGGGGGCACCCTTGAATGGCACACGAAGTATACGAGTAACACAAAATGTTGTCAAAATGCGATGCCCTTCCCAGAACAATTGTAATACTAAAACCCCCTGTAGGGAGCTATGGGATATTTGGTATGACAATTTACCTGTTGCTTCACTTGAACCCCAAGAGTTAGACATTTTAGGGACATTATCAGCAAAAGGATGTGTATTTTTTAATTACACACTGGAACATGATATGTGGGACAGAAGTGGAACAGGAAAGCAAAATGTTACCCCCAATAGTTTCTGGATTAAATAGATTGCCTTGCTTTGTAGCAAAAAGAGTAAATGAAACTTCCTTAATTTTGAGTGCTTTGGTTATAGATGTAGATATCATGCAGCATGCTGTTATTTTCTTGTGTTAGCTTATGGATATAGTTGTGAAGAGTTTGATGGCATGTGTTATGTGGAGGATTTTCTGGGATAGATCACTGGCTGGAAGAGTTAGGTTTATCAGGCTGGGTAAAGGGCCTCATTCAAAGTGGGCTTATCATTTATTGTATTACCATAATTATTTTGCTCATTGTGCTGTGTTTGTTATCCTGTCTGCAAAGGGCTCTGAGAGGATGGTGAAAACTGCCTTTGTAGTCGAAATACAAAAAGGGGGAACTATGATGGTTAACAGCTGGCCTGAAGGCCTCACAGACACAAGTAACCTTGACCTTGACTTGATGAGCCTGTACCCATGAGAAAAGGAAGTCTTTAAGGAAGACTTTTTCTTCTTTAAGGAAGAAAACAATGAAAAGTGCAAGGACTTAACTGCAAGGAATGGATGCTGGCCAATCTTTGGCGATCACATATGGAGGCAGCTATTGGCCAGTGAGCTGATGGCACCAAGTGATCAGGCAATTGGGATCAAATTAGTTGCTTTTGAAAACCATATAAATATGAGCTGTGAATAATAAAGATCACTATTCCTGCTTGAACCTTGGAGTGTTGTGTCTGTCTCTGCTGTGATACAAAAGGATATGGGAAGTGTTCAGTGCTGCTCATGATGTGGAAGCCTATATCATATTGATATATGCTAATTAGTTTAATAGCTTAGCTCAGTGTGTTTACACAAAACCCCAAGCTACCTGTCTTGGGGAGCTGTTTGCTGTGAAGCAGCCCCAGATGGGGGCAGACTTGTGGCTAGTTTATTTCTGTCTTGGTGTGCTCAGCATATCTGGAGTTTTATTCTGAAATGAGCTATCAGAGTTGCTATGCCAATAGTGCTGCTTAGGTTGTGGAGTGAGCTGAAAAAAGACTGCAGATACAATGTGAAATCAAGAAAAAGCCATTTATTGTGCTTCTAAACGTTGTTTATATTTACTTATTATCTTGCTCTACACAGTCATGCATTGTCTAATTGGTAGCTCTACTTTGTCCACCAAGCAGGCACACATCTTTTCCTTAATCTTACTGGTAGATGCTGGTAAGCGTCATTTTACTCAGGTTGACACCCCTGTGTTTGTCAGTAACTTTTCTGCTGCTGCTTCTTGCAACAACAGCTTCTCTATACACAAAGATGACCTCATTCTTTAGTTCCAGGAGGTTAGGCTGGTTCATTAGTACACGTCCATTTTCCTGTAAATATGATTCTGCAGTAGAGGAGTGAGTGTGCTGCTTGTGCAGTGCTCCCTGAAAAGCTGATAAACCCCAGGAGATGGGGTGGTTTAGTTAGAGCAGAGGAAAAGACATTATTTTGCAAGGTTGCTCTACCTTTGTGTGGCTAATGATGGCCAGGGAATAGACAGGCTCCTTGTGAGAGAGGAGTGGAAAAGGCTGTTGGCCATTACAGACAGTTCCCAGGGGTCTGAATTGCATGGACCCAAGGAATGCTGAGAGCTGGTGAGCAGCAGGGATTGCATGTGGACTGCAGAGCGGCTCTGCCCCTGGCTGTGCCATGGTGTAGCTGACAAATATGTGAAGTCTGCATTCCTGTTTAAAATGTAAGACTGGTTCTTTCTCCTGAAGGTCAGTGATGCCACATCAGAGGGTAAATCTCTTGGCATGCCCATTTCACTGGGATGAAGATTTGTCATTTGCCAAGGCAGTGGCTTTTCATAGCAGGGAGAGGGACGGAGTGGGTAGAACTGAGCACCAGGCTAAGTTAGCTCTGAGTGACTTAGGCAGAGACTTGGTATGTAGGTTTAGATTATGTAGTTGAAATCTTAAAAGTAGTTTTTTTTTCCTGTCTTTGAAGCAATTTTCTCATGGTGCGATGGAAACCTGCTAGGAACAGTAGTTTTAGGACTGGTTATTACTACTTTAATTTATGTTGGATGTACTGTTTTGGAAGAACTGTGAATATAATAGAGCCTCTTGGTTTTTTTACAGATGTAGGTCTGCTTCCTGCACAGACTGATCTTCAGTTTTTCTTTATATTTGACGAATCCTCTGCTTTGACAAATCAGAATTTGTCTACAGTAGAATTATTCAAGACCTGGATTTCAGAGGGAAGGAAAATGGAAGCATCAAAGCTGTTGCTGTAGCAGCTGAAATACCTGCTAACTGCATGGATGTGTGGGGGGCGAATTTGTTGGAGGTGGGAAGCTGCTCTAATAAATATGTAACTGACTGTAACTTGCTCTCCTCTTGGTTGTTCAGCAGATCGTAGCCAGAAAAGTGCCTATCAGCCTGTCTCTGTTCGTGATCCTGTGGATTCTCTGAGTGCCAAGGAAAGCACGGCGGCGGCAGCAGCAGGAGCCTGTGTAAGGAAACCCTTCAGGCACGGCAGATTTCCTGCCCAGGAGACACCAAGGCAGCCTGTGCTGCTGTCAGACTGAGGCAGCTTGGCTGGACTGGCATCACGGGAGAAAAACAAGGATTGCAGACTGCTGCCTGGCATGGCAGTAATTGAATGGGGTGATGATGAGATTATACTGGAAATATGACACTGTGGCTGTGGCTGCCTTGTCCCAGGAAGTGTTCCAGGCCAGGCTGGATGGGGCTTGGAGCAAGCTGCACTTGTGGGAGGTGTCCCTGCCCATGGCGAGGGGGTGGAAGTCGATGGTCTTTGAGGTCCCTTCCAACCTGGGCCATGCTGGGATTCTGTGATAAGTAGAATTCATGGAGGCTCAGTGTCCTATTCATTTTGGAAGGTGATGGAGTGGTAGAAAGGGATGAGAAATGTTCATCTTTTAAAGAAAGAAAGAAAGAATGGTCATAAGATCTGCAGGCTTTCACTGTCTTTTCTGTTTTTTTTGCGATGGAAACCTGCTAGGAACAGTAGTTTTAGGACTGGTTATTACTATTTTAATTTATGTTGGATGTACTGTTTTGGAAGAACTGTGAATATAATAGAGCCTCTTGGTTTTTTTACAGATGTAGGTCTGCTTCCTGCACAGACTGATCTTCAGTTTTTCTTTATATTTGACGAATCCTCTGCTTTGACAAATCAGAATTTGTCTACAGTAGAATTATTCAAGACCTGGATTTCAGAGGGAAGGAAAATGGAAGCATCAAAGCTGTTGCTGTAGCAGCTGAAATACCTGCTAACTGCATGGATGTGTGGGGGGCGAATTTGTTGGAGGTGGGAAGCTGCTCTAATAAATATGTAACTGACTGTAACTTGCTCTCCTCTTGGTTGTTCAGCAGATCGTAGCCAGAAAAGTGCCTATCAGCCTCTCTCTGTTTGTAATCCTGTGGATTCTCTGAGTGCCAAGGAAAGCACGGCGGTGGCAGCAGCAGCAGGAGCCTGTGTAAGGAAACCCTTCAGGCACGGCAGATTTCCTGCCCAGGAGACACCAAGGCAGCCTGTGCTGCTGTCAGACTGAGGCAGCTTGGCTGGACTGGCATCACGTGAGAAAAACAAGGATTGCAGACTGCTGCCTGGCATGGCAGTAATTGAATGGGGTGATGATGAGATTATACTGGAAATATGACACTGTGGCTGTGGCTGCCTTGTCCCAGGAAGTGTTCCAGGCCAGGCTGGATGGGGCTTGGAGCAGGCTGCACTTGTGGGAGGTGTCCCTGCCCATGGCGAGGGGGTGGAAGTCGATGGTCTTTGAGGTCCCTTCCAACCTGGGCCATGCTGGGATTCTGTGATAAGTAGAATTCATGGAGGCTCAGTGTCCTATTCATTTTGGAAGATGATGGAGTGGTAGAAAGGGATGAGAAATGTTCATCTTTTAAAGAAAGAAAGAAAGAATGGTCATAAGATCTGCAGGCTTTCACTGTCTTTTCTGGTTTTTTTCCCAGGACGAGCTGAATGGAATTGAACGTTTGAGTGAGGATGCAATTGTGAGCGGCTCCTACAAGAACAAGACCCTTTGTGCCAACCCAGAGGACACGTGTGACTTTAACAGGGCTGCCCACCTGGCCTCAACGCCCTTTCACGGGGTGGGAGCTCAGAGAGTCCCAGCTCCTGCTTTCTCTCAGGGTGAACTGAAGGAAGATAGTCCAGAATCCAAGAGTGCGCCTCTGAGTCAGGAGACACCGGTGGGTGAAGAGGCCTACACTGAAGCTCTGAGTGTAAAAAAACTGAGGTAATTAACAGTCAAGGACCTTAAGCCTCTTCTCCTGCATGTCTTTCATGTTGTGGTTTTAGTGTTGCTGAGGAAGGAGTTTTCTGAAAAGACCAGAATATCGTGGAGAGAGCCATTTCTTTAGCTCAGGGTCCACTTTGCCTTGAGCAGATTGGAGAGGTAATAGCAAGCCCACTTGCCTTTTTGGATTACTGCTGTGGGACTAATTTACAAGGTTTTTTAACCAAATAACTTGCAGAGAAATTAATAAATGCTTTCTCTCATTATCAAACATGAAAAGCAGAATCACCAGTTTCTTTTATACTTGTAGAGAGATGGTGATGAATGGGACTAAGCATCTTATTAACACTTATTAAAAGCCTGCCACTTTTGGGAGTGTCATACCATTCATTTTTCAGGGATGCCCAAAAAGTGAGTTTTTCTGTGACACTAAAGCGGAACACATCGCCAATTCCATAAGGTGAGTGCCACAGGAAAAATGACAGGATGAATTTAAGACAGAGAAATAACGTGGAGAATCAGCGAGTTGCCAGCACTTAGCAGAGGGAAAGGGCGGGAACATATGGGAGGAGGAACAGGAGTATACCTTTCAAATTAGATTAACTGCGAGTGCGGTATTTATAAAAGTTTTTATTATTTCCCGCTGGCGCCGCCGGTGAGGCGGGAACTACATTTCCCGTGGTGCCCCGGGCGACGCAGGACGGCGCCAATCAGGTGGGGCGGGGCGCGGCCAATGGGGAGGTGGGAGAGGTTTGAATTCTGAGGCGGCGCCGCCGTTACGGCTTCAGCGCTGCTGCGGTGCTGTGTCGGTGCGGGCGGCTCGCGCCGCGGGCAGCTGTGAGCGGTACGTTCGGCTGGGAGGGGTTCGCAGCACTGGGGCGGCCCGAGGTGCTGTGGGGTCCGTGAGGGGCGTGCGGGTCTGTAAGGGATGAGGCCGTGTGGGGTGAGACGCGCTCGGCGGCTGAGGGTTGTGGTGTCCCTGAGGGACCGAGGCGGCCTCAGGGGCTGAGAAGTGCGCGGGTCTGAGGAATGTTTAGTCCGTGAGGGGTGCGCGCGCCTGTAGGGCTGGGGTGGACTGAGAGGGGCTTGTGGAGTCTTTGAGAGGCTGTGGGACGTGACGGGCCTTCGAGGATCTGGGGGGGTTGTGGAGTCCGTCAGGGGCTGTGAGGTGCTCGGGCTTATGCTTGTGGGGTCTCTAAGGGACTGAGGCGGCCTGAGGTGCATGGAGCTGTGGGGTCCTTGGGAGGTGCATGGGCTGAGAGGGGCTGTGGGATCCCTGTGGGGTTGGGGAGCCGTGAGGTGCGTAGTGCTTGAGGGGCTGTGGGGATCTGTGGCATTCCTGTGCGGCTGAGGGGCTCTCAGCTGTGAGGTGCGCGGCACTGACGGCTGCGGGATCCGTGAGGGGCTGTGGTGTGTGAGCTGTGCGGGGCTGTGGGTGTCTCTGGGGGTCTGCGAGGCGCTGTGCGGGGTCTGTGAGGGGCTGAGAGCGGAGGCGGCCTGAGGGGCTGTGAGGTGTGTAGGGCGGAGCGGCGGTGTCTGTGTGGGATCCGTGCGGGGCTTTAGGGAATGAGGTGCTTGGCGCTCGCGGCTCTGGCGCTCTCAGATGGATTTTCCTGCCCGGCGCGGCGCTGGGGCCGCCCGGACAGCGCGGGGTGCCCGGTGCCGGCGTGGGGCGATGCGTCCCGGGGCCCGAGAGCCTCGCCTGCCGTCGGTGCCAGCCGGGAGTCCCCGCCGCTCTGCCCCGCCGGCCCCCGGCTGGGGTCGAGGCTCGGCTGTGCCCCCGCCTGCTGCAACCGCTCGTGGAACTGGTGAGGAGCCAGAGGGTCCCGGCTGAGCCTGGCTGAGGCTCCCCGGGACCCTTCAGCATCCGGTGTGAGGAGGGGGGGGCGTCTAGGAGCAGGGAAAGAAGCAATCACCGGGGAGGGAGATGGCTTAATCCTAGTCTTTTTTGTTGCTAATATTGCCTGCTTGCGGTTCTTCACTGTCAAGATGGGCGCTTTTTTTCATATATTTAAAAACCCCCTGAAAGTTGGGTATCTAAGTGGTGTGTTTTGGCTGCATAGAAAATTCTGGGTGAATGGGCTTAGGAAACTGTCTCTGTCAGGTTTCAGGTCAGTACCCCACCGTACAGGTGTCCATTCCTTTTTAAATGCAGGATTAAAGGAGAAGTGTTCCGGATTGGAGGAGAGGTGGTCATGTCCCAGGAGGACAGCCACGAGTGGGAGCTGAGCAAGGAGAATGTGCAGCCCCTCAGGCAGGGACGGGTGATGTCCAGCTTGCAAGAGGCACTGTCTCAGCAGGACTCTTCCAGCCACACTGCTGTGCAGCTTAAAAAACAGTAAGTGATGTTATAACAGCTCATTTTCCCCTTATCTTCCTCCCTCCTCATTTTAACTTTATTTTCTTAATCTGTACCAATTTCATAGGCATTGAAAAAGGCATAAAATAAGTTCAGTAATTGATGTCTGTGCTATTACCACGCTCTAGGATTTTAGAACTACTCAGTGCAGGTGTTGTGTAGTACAGGCTTCAAATTTTCATTTTGCAATGGAGCATTTAAGCAGCAAACACTAGGGAGATTTGGCTGTGCTTTTTAATTCATAATTAACTCTTAATTTGTAATTCACAAGATCAACTTACAGTGATACAAATGTATTTATTGGATTAATAATGTTATGTTTTAGGGAGTTTGAAGCAGAAATACGATTTTACTCTGGAGATGATCCTCTGGATGTCTGGGAGCGGTAAGTTTTTCTTTATTTCAGAAAAAAGAGTTAAATGGTCATATATCCTTGTAAAAGCAAGGCAAACACATTCTAATTTAATAAGAAACTCATTGAAAGCTAAGTTTTATAATTGCCTTTAAATATTATATTGTGTTTGAATGTTATGCCTATTTTTTTCTCAATCTCTTTATATTTTACAGACTCTTATTAAGAACTGACTTGCTATGAACACATTCTGTCTCTAGGTACATCAAGTGGACAGAGCAGGCCTTCCCTGGGGGTGGCAAGGATGGCAACCTGGCAGCAGTTCTGGAAAGGGCAGTGCAAGCCCTCCACGGGCAGCAGCGATACTACAAAGATCTTCGCTATCTTAATCTCTGGCTCAAGTTTGTGAGTGTTTTGGGAAATCTCTTGGGTGCTGCTTTTCCTTGGGACCTTGTCATGTTGTCTGCACACAGCTAAGTTGATTCTGGTGACAAGAGTCAAACGAGTGCAATATTGGACGTATTTTTCTGCAAATGTTACTCTTGAATTCTGTTTCTCATTTCCAGACTATTTTTTGGGTTGTTCACTTTGGACAGCTACCAACTATAGAAGTTTTTGATTTGTAAAAGATGCCTTCATATTTATTTAAGGAGAAACAGAAGTGATTTAAAGATACAATATCTAAAATATATCTGTCCTTTCAGATATTTTAGCTTCTAGCTGTCTTTTCTCCCTATCCTTTTAAACACTAAAGCAAGCTAAGTGTGTTCTGGTCCTGTCCTGTCTCTCCATTGCCATAATTTTTGTTGTCCATTTTTTACAAAGCAGTTTTTCCCCAGCTTTAGCTTGCTGAGGTAATCTACCAGTTCCAGAAGTGGCAAGGAATATGCTATACTTCATCTGAAGCTAAAATAACTGTTTATTCTCAGGAATACTAATATGGTGCAATTCAACCACTGAATTACCTCACATTCAAATAAGAAATTCTGTGTACTGGCCTTAGAACTGTTCCTGTCAGACTTGTATTGAAATCATGGGAGTCTTGCTGGAGGCATTGAAATGCGGATTTTGACTGGGACCTCCCTGCAGTGCCGTGTGATTAAAGACATCCTTGGGTCATTTCAGGGCGACTGCTGCAACGAGCCCTTGGATCTGTACAGTTACCTGCACAGCCAGGAGATCGGCACCACGCTGGCCCCGCTCTACATCACCTGGGCAGAGGCACACGAGGCCAGGGGCAGCTTCAGGAAAGCAGATCTGATATTCCAGGAAGGACTCCAGCGCAAGGCTGAGCCTTTGGACAAACTCCAGGCTCATCACAAGTAAGGGAAGAACTTATGTGCTCACCTGGGTTCCTGGGATAGGGAAGGTTATGTTGACTTCTCCCATCTTTTTTTTTTTTAGGCAGTTTCAGGCCCGTGTTTCTCGGCAGACACTACTGGCACTTGAGGAAAGTCCTGATGGAGACAATATGGGATTGCTGGGAATTGCAGAGCCTCAGAGAAGTTCGCTGGCAGATCTCAAAGGCAGAGGGAAGAAGAAAGTGAGAGCCCCCATTAGTCGTGTGGGAGATGCAGTTAAAGGTACATTAAAGAGCTAAAAAAACTGTTACTGAAGGAGTTTAACCTCTTTATAGTGAGATTTGCAATTGAATGTGATGGTTGAAGGTTCATTGATATAAATCTTCTTGCTAATAGTCATGAACCCAAACAGAAGCTGCCAGCCTCAGGCTTCTCTACAGCTTCCAAACGCTCCAAGTTTTGCCGTATTTGATGAAAATTCTGTGTCTGGACCTGAGATTCCCACACTTACAGCACAGTCATGGCCAGCACCTCCAGTTCCCAGGGCCAAGGAGAATGAACTCCGCGCAGGACCGTGGAACTCTGGCAGGGTAAGGAGGCTCAAAATGGATGGGGAAAAGAAAGGAAGGTGTGTGTAAGTTGATAACTTCTGATTGCTGAAACAGAGATTGTCTCTTTCTCCCTTGCCTGTGGTTTGTGTCTATTGTAAATACAGATTTCATAATAGAATTGTGAAATTGTTTGGGTTGGGGGGAACCTTATAGATCATCTGGATCCACCTTCCACTAGCCCAGGTTGTTCCAAGCACCACGCAGCCTGGCATAGGCACTCCCAAGGATGGATCAGCAACAGCTTATGTAGGCAACCTGTGCCACGGCCTCAGCATCCTCCCAGGGAAGAATTTCTTCCCAATATGTCATCCAAAGCCACCTAACTGTGGCTTAAGGCCATTTCCCCTTGTCCTGTCACTGTGAATGAGCCCTTGTGAATGGCTGCTCTCCGAAAGAGTCCCTGGCCATGTCTACTCTGTTCACGTTTAGCAGGCTGATATGGCTTGAATAAAGTTTAAAAACTCTGTGAAGTTTTAATATCAGGAGAAGGAAATTCTTGCTAAGCAAGAGAATTGGCAGAGGTGGCTTGCTGAAATGTTTGGAGGGCAGAAAAGGAATGCAAGAGGCAAAACATGAGCCAGGGAAGGGGAGGGAAGCCAGGCATTAGTTGAATGTGTAAGATAGAAGCATTAGAGTTGAATTCTTTTGGAAACTAGAACCTGAAGGAGGAACTTGTTGGCTGTCTTGTGCACAGAAGGCACGTACAGCATTCTGCAAGTCTTGTTTTGAAGTGCTTGTGAGGAAAACAGAAGAGTGCAGATCAAAAGGATTCAAGTGCAGTATCAATGGAATATTTATCCTGGCAATAGGATGACACAGAGTAGCTTCCAATGGCTTAAACTAAACATGAAAAGGAACAGCTGTGCTACAGGTGTTTAGGCTGTTGCAGAGAAGTGATGGAAGACCTGGTGTGAAGGGAATGAATCCTGTGAGATCAGGTTTGTTTCACAGGTGCTCAGACAAGCCCCAGTGTTGCCCTGCTCTTTGTAGCTGAGAAAAGAAGAATAGAAAATCACGAGGCTGATGCCTGGCTGTGCCAGGGTGACTTTATGATGCTTGTGTCCCCAGTGGTCTGTTCTGTTGGTCACATGCTGGAGCACAAGCTTTTCCAGAGCATGTTAGAATGATAATGTAAAAGCAAAGCTTTCCTTGAAGGCCTCCAGGCACACACAATGGCAAAAACCAGTGCTCAGAACTGATGGGATCGGGCAATTGGAATGTCTGGCCAATGTTGTCCAATGAGAGGAGCAGTTGGTTGGGTAATCTCCTCCCTGGCCCCTGCCCTCCTCCCCTACCCTTATTATGGCAGTGATTACGTGGTGCAAAATAAAGTGTCCTTGGAGAAGTAACAGGCAAGAGATAATAAAATTTTAGCAATCTGTCAATAAGGGCCTGTTCCCTGTGGGCAAGTTCTGGAAGTTACACTGAGGCATTTAACAGGCTACAGAACTCCTAATACATGAAGAATACATAAAAGCTGAAAACTTCAGGCATCGAGATGGCAAAAGTATTCTCATCTTCTCAATATGGATGTTGTTATAAGTGAAGCTTGGTAAGAAGAACTCGAATGAGAGAGGGATGCAACCAGGCTAAAATTCTTGGAAACTCAAGGAATATTCTTTTCAGATAGAAAGCAGTTTTTTTAAATGAATGGAAAAGTTAACTAAATCATAGATTTATTACAGCTGAGAAGAGTGAGGAAAAATTATTAATATACAATTAATTTTGCCAGTCTCTTTTTGCTGTTTAAAACATTCATTCGGATCTCCGAATACTTCCATATTTCTTTTAATGTCTGCCCTTAGAGTAGTGTCTGCTCCCCTCTTAATGAAATTTCTTAGATTTAATTTAAAATATCCTGTTTCTGGCAGAAGAGGCAAGGATGTTTAATTCCACTCCATTGAAGGGCAGTGCAAGAATAACCTTTGGTGAATGCTCTGACACATTAAAACCTGCAGAGGGAAGAAGGGGTTTCTCTTACTGCTGGTATCAAGATGCCTCAGGAAGCAGTTTGGGAAATGATGGAAAACAGGAGTGAGTTTGTGAAGTATTCCCACCATGTAACTTTTTTTGTGCTGAAGAGTCTCAGGCAGTTGAAATAGGCAGATGAGAGTGGTGTGTTGCCTGACTAAATTCCACCTCTTCTCTTTACTAATGGACCTCAGAAACTGTTAAGGGATTTTTGTGCTGTTGCACTGGTCTCTTAATGGAAAAATTGAAAAAATCCCAAACTCCAAGTCTGGAGGTTGTTGGTGGACAGGGAATGAATATTATCATAGAACTGGGACAGTCTTGGCTGCAAAAGGAGAACTGTGACATCTGTGCAAAATAAGGAATACCCAGCCTGACCAGGATAATGTGTATATATATCCCTCAATATGTACAAAACATTCCCTCAGAATAAGAGGAACTGGTGAGGACATGCAGGAGAAGCCTTTTAGGCAGTGTTCAGCTGGTGGGCACTGACTGTGTCAGAAAGGAATTAATCTTGCAAAAGTCTCCATCAAGTTTAATTTTCTATGTAAGAAAAGGTCCAAATAAGCAGAAGATGAGGAAAAGGGAGATGCAGACTGCAGAGGGATGTGGAGACTGAAATGAATCCCTGTGTTGTTAATGTTGCCTTTCCTTCCGCAGCGTCCTCGCAGCGCTGTGAGCTCTGGCTTGGAAGTGCCCCACCCACTGCCCAGTTTCACCCCCTATGTGGACGAGTCAGCTCAGCCCCAAATGATGTGAGTCTTGAGTTTGAGATGGGGGGATTGCATTTGGAATTCTCAAAGCTGCTTCCAAAAACTGGGACTTGTTTTGCCAAGTACTTAAGCCTCTCGAGCTAGAGGAATTTAAAAATCTGTCATCCTGGAAGCAATTAGTGCTGCAGCTTGATGACAGAGGCTTCAGCAGAGGTTGCGTAAGGACATGGGAAGTGTTCAGTGCTGCTCCCGATGTGGGGGCCTATATCGTATTCATATATGCTAATGAGTTTAATAGCTTAGCTCAGTGTGTTT